TTGCCCCCCCCCCCCCCTCTCGCGAGGTCAATGGTCAAACGACTACGGCATGCACGACTATGAGTAACCCCCCCCCTCTCTCTCCCTCTCTCTCACTCTGCATCGCTTGTTGTTGTTGGGTATTGCTACTTTCGCTACACTCCCGACAGGCGGAGCCCTTGCTTCGGAAGGTCCTCTCTCTCCGAGAGAAGGTGCTGGGTGAGTATCACGTGGACGCGGCGGAATCGCTGGTTAACCTAGCGGTCCTCAACAATAGGAAGGTGCGCGCGTGTTGGCGAACGACTTGTTGCGCTCGCTCGTGTCCCAGCACAGTCCTAAAACTTGTTGTCTTTCTCACCCTCCCCTATTGTCCTCGTACCATGTCATTCCGTACATCCAGACCTCCATCCAGAACACGTAGTACGCGCCTTTCGCTCGTTATTTGTTCGTGTTGGCTCGGGAAGAATGGCCCTCGCGGGTGGTTATCCAAAACTCATCGGTGTTGGACCACTCCCGTACTGCCATTTTGACACTGTGGACACGCGTGCCTTGGTTCTTGGATCTGTCGTTGTTTCAAACGAGGTTGTGTCTGTTGACGTGTGGATCCGGGCTCTTCGGCGTTGTCCTCGTCCGCCATTTTTCCGTACAGCGCAACATGACTCTGGCCGTGCGAGAGAGGCAGGGCGGTCTCCTTGCCAAACCTCAGCAGGCTCTTGTCTTGTCACGCTTGCTTTTTTTTTCTCGACTCTACCGTTGTTGTGCATGCATTCCCCCCCCCCGAACGCTTTTGTGTGATTGTGTATGACGTGTTTCTCTTGAAGGTCGCCCCGTGGTGGGCCTGGCGCAGCAGTCACGCTATTAGGAACTTTCACACTGTGGTGTGCGTGGCTTGGGTGTATTGCCCTATCGTATGCAAGCGGACGGTTCAACCCCACCTCCATCGTTACGCAAGAAACGATTGGCCATGGGGAATTGGTCCTGTGGAAACAATGGCCCGTCCTCTCGAGGGCGCGTGTTCAGTGGTCTAACACCCAAGGGATTCAACACATGAGTATGCCTTCCCCCCCCCCCCCCCCCCCCCCCCCCCCCCCCCCCCCCCCCCCGCCCCCCCCCCCC